TTTGAACATGTTCATGAACTTTGAACTGAACCTGAACTGAACATAAACTTGACTTAAAAGTTCAATACTGAACTGAATATGAACCTCACTTGAAAGTTCAATATTGAACATGATTGAACTGAACTTGAACCTGAACTTGACCAAAGTTCGGTTTCAGTTCGGTTCATAAGAACACTAGTTGATTATTACTTGAATCATTATCTGAATCAATGATTTCAATAACTTCCGGGGTTAAGTATATGTGTAGAATACTCTCTACTTTCAAAATTATCATCTGAATTGATAATTTTAGTAAGTCCTAAAGAATATGTGTTTTTAGAGCCCTCTCCTGTTTCAGAATAATATAATGATAATAAATCATCATAAATTTTCTGTGCACTATCATCATCAATATCTTGATCATATAGATTATCAGTATTTTGTAGTTCTTCCATTCTTAATCTTATGGCTAATCAATATTTTGTGGTTCGTCTATATAATAGTCATATAAACTATCTATATTTTGAGATTCACCTCACCTCATTATAATTCTCTTGAATTTGTTTTATATCATTATAGAATTCCAATTCTAACGTTTCACTACTATCATCGAAATAGTTGCTAATTGGGAACCTTCAGATATTAAAGCCTGATTATTCAATACTTCTTCACTTTTATATATATCAATTAAATTGATATCACAGTGAGGAAGCTGTCCAAATACCACTTTATAAGGAATTGATTTATGTGCGAAACAATACTGAGTGTTCATGGTGACTAAATAATTATAATAGTGAATTTTAATTAAATTAGTAATAATAAATAAAATAAATATAATAAAAATTAAATAAAAAATAAGTAAAAAAAATCAAAATCGGCATAAATAATTAAATAATAATAATAAAAAAACAATTCATATTGTTAGTTATATAGCACGGTCAATAAATTAGCATGTTCACGTGACTTAATAAAAAAATTTTAAGAAAGTTATTTTATAAATTATCTACTGCATTCTAATAGCACTAATTAAAAAAGAAAAAAATAAAAAAAAAATAAATAATAAAAAAACATAAAAAAAATAAAAAAAACCTGAAAAAATAATAAAAATTGAAAAAACGAAAAAATAAAGAAAAGAAAGAAAAAAATAAATAAAAAATAAAAGAAAAATAAATAAAAAAAAGAAAAAAATCAAAAAATCAAATAAAAAAGAAAAAATAAATAAATAAATAAAAAAAAAAAAAATAAAAATAAATAAAAAATAAAAAGAAAAATAAATAAAAAAAGAAAAAAATCAAAAAATCAAATAAAAAAGAAAAAGAAATAAATAAATAAAACAAAAAAAACACACAAATAACAAATTTTAATCCTATACTCCAGTCGGTTCAGCCTGTCTCTTCAATCCAGGATCCTAATTTGGTTTGGAGAATGTCATTCCCTTTTTCTACCATTTCTTGACAGTATGGGTTTCTTGGTCTACTATTGACAAATTTAATAGTCGGCCAGAGACTTAATGTCTCTTTAATAACCCTTCCAACAAACTCACCACTATTATCAGAATGTAATACAATTGGAGGGCTGTACATCATGCAAAAATTGAGCAAGCATGCTGTAGCTTCTTCTGCTGTCTTAGATGGTGAGGGTTCTGCATATGAAATTCTTGAAAAGTGATCTCTAATATGAAAAATGTATTTATACATTCTATTGGGTGTCGATGTCATATCAATAGTATCTATCTATAAATAATTTTTTTTAAAAAAAAAATAAAGAAAAAAAACCATTATATAACTATTTTTACCTGAATATGATGCAAAAATCTCTCAGAAATTATTGGTCGGATGGGTGGAATTTTTATAAAAGCTCGCCTTGTAATACAAACTTTGTATTCACGAACAGCATCATCAACTATCTTTTGCAGAATAAAACAATACTGCACATGAATCTTTAATGCAATTATAAATTAAGTAAAAAAAAAACAAAAAGTAAAAAAAAACAAAAAAAAAAAAAAAGAAAAAAGAAAAAAAAACCTTTCGCCAGGTTTTGTCTCGACTAGCATGTTCTATTGCTTGGTGTGTGGCACAAATTACTTCATAAAAATTTTCAATAGGACAAACTTGCATCCCCGGATTATTTTCAGCTGGCTTAATTATATGAAGTTCTTCAGTTGTACCAACATAAAAAATTTTAAAATTATGAGTTACCCAATATTTAAAATTTGGGTTTCATAAATCAGTTGGATTTTTAAGTATATATAAACATTGATCGTATTTATTTTGATCCATTAAACTATGATTGTTTTTTCTTTGATTAATAAAGTTTCTAGTATTCTATCAAAGGTTTCACATAACAGAAAGTTGTATCATTCCATTTTTAAAAATTAATAATAAAAATAAGAAAGATTTATTTAAAATTATGCATTCGAAGACTATTTATTTTCTTTACTTTTTGCATTAATTAAATGACATACATAATATATTTGTAGTATAATAAATTAATGAAAATAAGAAAAATTTTTTTCATTTTTTGCATTAATTATACATACATAATACATTCATAGTATAATAAATTGATAATTCTGAGTTCTAATTCTTATTGAATTTTTGATGAACTCTTCCACTTGCCAATGTTGCATGACCAAGACCAAAATCAGTTACATATAATGGAGCTTAAATTTATTGCTGATATTAAAATTAATGAATTAATACAATAATAATGACATTTGATCAAATATGTAAGAATAATAATCATTTATAATGAAAATTTTATTCCCAAAAATTTTATTTTACAATCCGTATAATGAAGCAAAAAAACAAAAATGCGAGGATCAAATTTTAAATAATATTTGCATGCAAAAGAAAATGTTATAAGATCTGAAAGGCTTGAATATATAGCTTATGAAAACTTATTGATGTTGAAGGAAAAGCAATATGTCTATGGATTTTGAGATAGTTGTAAATATTTCTCCAATAGTTAGAATTAGACAGATGAAGCTTTTACAAGTTCATTGTCAGTATATTATGGTTTAAAATTTTTTCTAAATCTAACATTATATTAATTTAGGTATAATAGGATTCTCAAGATCCTCTTGTTACAGAAGCTAAAGAAACTTTATGGGGAAAGTAATCTAATATCAACCTTAATCAATTACACAGCGATTGATTTGATAAATAATGAGAAATCAAGTACTGATAGTAAATCCAAATCTGAAATTTTAAGAAATACAAAAAAGCTCTTCATGGGTATAAAAAAAACCTTTTCATTATATTTCCATGTTTGAATATATTTATTAATTTTGTTTCAGAAGCTTGATGTATTAAAAAATCTTCCTAAACAAAAAAATGGCATCGAAGTATTGAATCGAACTTAATATCTATTCAAAAAATGGTAGATGACATTAAAGATTTTGAACAAGCAAAAGAGCTTCCGAAAACTTGGAGTGAACATAACAAAATACTAGCAGATAGCATAAAAAATTCAAATTTGAAGCTTTAAATATGTATTAAATAAAATTTGAATTTGGATGTAAATGCATTCTATACATTTTTTGAATTAAATGTAATTTGACTTACAATAAAACTTTTAGCGATAATTAAATAAATTCTAAGTTGAATAAAAATCTTGTAATCTCGTGATTCTATTATTATTGTGCATAGATTTAAATTTACCATATTGTCGTGAAATAACAGGCCAGGGCATTATTTAGAAAATCATGCCCCCTAAAAATAGCATCTATGGTTTCGAAATAATGCCTCGGCGCGTCTCTAAATAACGCGCCCCCTATATCTAGTTGATAAGTAAATTCACACTTAAGGATGGGTTTGACTACGAACGGCTACAATTATATAGCCAATTTGCTAAATACTGAGATGATTTTTTGTTCTTAAGCTTTAATTAAAGTTGTTCAGAATTAAATTCTGGTCATCCCATATTATAAGTAGAAAGAACGATACCTTCTCCGAAACTCGGAATTTTAAGATTTGTAACGTCTTAGCAGGCTACTAGCCGTCGGCTAATAGTCGGCTATAATCTTAAAATGAGTTCCAGAGAAGGTATCGTTCTTTCTACTTATAATATGGGATGAGCAGAATTAATTTTGAACAACTTTAATTAAAAGCTCAGGAACAAAAAATCATCTCAGTAATGAGCAAATTGGCTATGAATAATCGTAGCATTCGTAGTCGAACCCATCCCTATTCACACTCAATCAAGGGTCTGTTAAAACCAGGTGCGTTTAATATATTGATTTATATACTGTATTTGATATCTATATAACCTACTAACCTTAATTATATCAAAAAAGTAACCCTTACTTCATCAAAAAATAGTTCTCCCCCAAATCAGCTGTAAATTATATTGTTTCAAAATAACGCCCCGGCGCGTACTCTAAATAACGCGCCGGGGTGCGTTATTTCGCGAAAATACGGTAAAAGCGATTACGTAACTGAATTTGGTGGTGGCGGCTGTGCAGTCTTTGCGTGACAAATAAGCACAAACTAATATATTTATATAAGTATATTCAGTAGGTGCTTATTTGTCACGCCAAAGATTGGTCACACTCAGCGGCAAATGGTAAGATCCTAAAGCTTCGTAGTGTTGCATTATGAATTGACCCAATTTATTCCTAAATCGGTGAAAATTTAAGAATGACCTAGGTCAATTCAAAATCGACCTAAATTGTGAAACGACGTCGAACACTGTCACTTATTATAAATAATTTTCATGATGTTAAAAGATGGTGTTTATCGTAAATTTTAGATAACCAGTTAAACAAAAGCCACATATGTTGTTGCGACTGTTTTAAAGAGTAATGCAAATGTATGCATGGTTTTGTTCTAGACATAATTCTGGATTTGATCCTTCGGAAAATTTCGAGCTGTTACGCATATCGGCCTTTACATTTTAAGACTATAAACTATGTGATGTAGAAACTCTAAAAATCTTAATCTTTTTACATGCGCTAAAAAACAAATTAACAACATTGCATTTGAATAAGCCAAAATATCATTCATACGATAACTAATCATTCATGTATTATGTACAAAAGCTTTTTTTAAACAATCTTTCATATTTTCTTTAATTAATTATCCAAATATATCTAATTTTAAACCTCTATATTTTTGAATAGCTAATTTTTTGTAGCTACATTTAATAAGCCTTTACTATTTAATAATCGATACAATCTCGCAAACAAAACAGGACAAAATTTATAAAATTAAATACAATATCTACTTGTTTTAAACACACTTCATTCATTTCTGCTATTATCTTAAAGTTTATATAAAATCCGTAGCAATAAATAACAAAATTATAGAACTAAATCTTCAAGAAGCTCTTTTACATATTTTAGTCCATATTATAATATTATATTATTTTAAGTTTATTTAATAAATAACAAAATTATAAAATTAAATCTTCATGAAACACTTTTAAAATCTACTTTCACACCTATCAATATACATATTTTAGTATATTCGAGTGCCGTCAAAGGAAAACCTACAATCGGGCTTTCAAGTATATTTTGTGTACAGTTGGTTATCTGTGTGCCGTCTATGGTAAATCTACTGTACACAAAATATACTTGAAAGCCTGATTGTAGGTTTTCCTATTGTAATTTCTATCCTAAGATACTGTAAAAAATTTTGTTACAAAACTTGCTATTCTGGTGACTACAGTATTGGTTAAGGTTGAGAGGGTTTGTATTTGAAATTGTCTTGATTTCTATGTGATTAAGGAGTGTAAGTTTGGATTTATAATTTCTATCGTGAGTTATTGTAA